ACTTTTTGTAACAAGTTTTATATTTAACATGAGAGCATCTCCTTTATCGTGGTAGGGACTGAGAGACCTCCCATTTAATGACAGTGCCGAGTGGCGCCACTCCACTCGCGGGCGACCGTGCCGCCATCTAGCGGCGGATCCTCGCGTCACTCCGCCCCGGAAGATGGCAGCACCTGTCTGCTGTGTTCATTGCGGCGGGAGCATCGCCGAGTGAGGTCTATTCTCCTGGCCGCCTCGGAGCTCTGCCGTGCTGAGGAGGAACGTCGTATGGTGTCTCGCTAAGGAAAAACGCCGTATGGACCTTCAGCTGTTGCCAAATTTCCTTTGATAGAACACGAATTTTTTTGGAAAACTTACGAATATTTTCGCTCCGATTAATTAGATAATTTTTTTCGCATTTCACCTAAAGTTCCGGAAAATGTCAAGGAAAAATATTCAAAACTTTCTTCAAAAATAACATTTTATTGAGGGAAATTTGGCAACTCTCGAATGTTCATAAGGCGATTTTCCTTGGCACGGCAGTGTGAGCCTTCAGATGTTGCCAAATTTTCTTCAATAAAATCGAATTTACTGGGAAAATTTTGAATGTACTTCCTCAAAGTTTCAAACAATGTTTTCTGATATTTAAAATAAAATATCAGAAAAATTTCAAAGAAAAATATGCAAAACTTCCCTAAGAAATACATGCTTTACCAGGGGCAATTGGCAACGTTTGAAGGTTCATACGACGTTTTCCCTTATCCGGCAGAACTGGCGTCAGGTGTTGGAGCTTTTATTACCTTTTCTATTGAGACCCACGGAAGTGATTATTAAAAAGGATTTCAAAAACTTGCCCTAAATAAAGAGAAGCAAGCGTAGTCACTGAATAATGGAGGGAGCATAGGTTGAAAAGAATTACTTTTTTGTAGGATGGGGAAGGGGGAAATAAAGGGGTTCCCGCCTGAGATGCAGGTGGGAGTCTGGTGCACCCCTTCTCTCCTTGGATTGCCGGACACTTCGGATTGTTTAACAATTTTAGAACTCTTGCGTAAACTAGTTTTTCAACATTTGAAAGATGAAACAATTTAGCCGGAAATTTTTTTGATACAATATCAAATGCACAGCAACTTAAATTGTTCAATAAATGCGTAAGACCCTAGAGAGATCACTGGTAATGGTACTGCAGAATAAGATTCTTTTAAACGCAAAATTATACGATCTTTAAATGTGTGAGTATGTCGCACTAATTAATGGCGAAAAGTATGTTGATTTTGGAATTTTCACTAGCGATGGTATTTTGAAGTTGGTGTAATCAAGAAAATTCTAAAATTCCAGGGGCAGAGAATCTATATCATTCAGTTGAATTATGACAACTATGTATGTATGAATAAACATACTTCTAAACACAGCTACGATCGAATTTTGGCATTTAGATGAGACGGTATTTCAAAAGTACCAAAAATTCCCCTCTTACTTACTATGATATGAATCTGAGCTCGGTTTTAAAAATCTCACACTGCATGACAGAGATACAGGGCCCAGAGTTAAATGATGGACTATCGATTTTATTTTCCCATCTGAAGATATGGTAAAGAATCTATTGATTAAGATGTTCGTTGCGGACACCCTGTACATATATAGATTCTCATTCATGGGTTTAAATGACAGATCAATCGATTAATCGCAAAGCACGCCAATGATTCCATGCCTCGCAAATTTGGAATCGGAATCAGTATTGCTGTTTGAGCACAGGCGTTAAATTAATTATTTATTAGAGTCCGCTTAAGACCTCCACTTCTGAACTTTAGTGTTTTACTTCAAATAGCCATACCGAGCAGAGGCCCATATTATAAGTTGCCTAGTGAGTTACAAAAGCTACCAGTGGCGTGGCGTGAACGATCGATTATCGATATTTCTCCATTTGAAGCTATGGTAAAGAATCGATTATTAAGGTGTTCGCTGCAAACACCCTGTTTATCGATCCTTTTCCATAGGTTTAAATGGCAGATCAATCGATACATCGCAAAGCACGCCACGCCACTGAAAGCTACAGATCCAGGCTAGGGGGGAAATTGGATCTGAGAGTGCAGAAGCAATTTTCTCAGTTGAGCGATTTTTGTTTGGTTGGGTTGAAATATGGGAATTGATTAACAAAAAGAAAACGTTTCCTATTATCTGAAATAATAAGATGAGAGTGCGGTTTGGTTCATTTTTGCGTATTAAAGGACATAGAGCTGTATACTTTCCTCGAGTTTTTCAGCACTCGTGTCCCTTTTCCCCGCAGGCGATCGTATTCTTTTTCTTATTTTTAATCCAACATGCAGCAACATTAGTCTTCGTGTAAACCGGGCCACTAAATCTTGTGTTTTTCATGTGGTTCAGTGTCAGGTCAATAGATTAAGTGGTAATTTACTACGTATTTTTGGAGCCAAAATCTCGGACATACCCGACTTTTAAAAAGTTCAAAGTCTCGACGGAATTTTAAACGCGACAGAATGGTGGGAAAATACTGGCAATGCAGTGTTACGGCAGTCAAATCGCTTTCTCCTCTCATTTTCCACTGTTGTTCGTCAAAATAAAATGTATTTTAGTTTGGAATTATTGCTTGTTTATTACAGGTAACATGAATGAGATTCGATCCTTTGATTTTAGAGATAAATTTTTGACATTTCTAATGTTTTCATGTACAAGGAGTACAAAAATATTTAATGGAAGTTGTGGAAACTCGTCCTCGCTTCTGATTGGTACCGGATGACATCACTCAGTTCGGCGCGAAACCGGGGCGTTTTAATTTTGCGGAAAAGTTACGCTTGTTTAACTGCATAATTCTCGGTTTCTGAGTTATATTTTCGCGTTTTTAATGCAAGTATCGTGATTTACGCGTCATTTACCTTAAGAAAAATGTATTCGCAGGTCAAAATCCGTTCATGGTTTAGTGACCGATTCGTCACTGTGTAAAATTATAAGGCATTATAAGCACTGAACTGCACGTTAACTTGTAGATTTTTATTTTCCTGTTAATTAAAGTTTTCCTCCGAACTTTCATAATCTAGACACACCACGCGATTAATTCCCCCGCTCCAAAGAAACTGAACGCTTATTTGGGAGCGCAATCGCCGAATTGGTTCACGAGCAACATTTTTATTATCGAAACAAGGCTGATAAGGCCGAGATACCTTTGATCCGTTACGTCTGTCAGCTTGATCCGATGACTTACGTAGACTTATTATTTGCTTTATTCCGATGTGTTCGCACCGGGTAGTGAAAGTTGGCGGAAATTGAGGTTAGTACTTGATACTTTTTACTCAAAACTCAAGAAGCACAAAAATTAGATAAAATAGCTCCGAAAAATTTGGTTTTTAAAAAATATGAGACATTAAATTACCGAACGGCTAAAATACGTTAATACGTTTTGGCTAAAATATGTGAGCTCTATTACACGGGCTTAAAACAGTGATGAAATCGAAAAATTAGAACATGTAACGTGGAATGGGGCACGTTTGTTTTACTCAAACTTTGTGGGGTAATCTTTGCACCTTTTTTGAGATGGAGAGGAATATTAAAACGGGCAACATTTCTCTAAAATTGTGTCATTGGTTATGCTGAAAAACGGAGTTTTCTCCATTAGTGTGTGGTGTGAAAAGACATGCTCTCACTCATAGGTTTTCCCAAATTTTGTCACATTTTTCCACATTTCTATTTCATACTGTATGTATGTTTACTATGTATTATGTGGAAATATATGTGTGGACTATACAAATTCTAAAGCCTTTTACAGGGTTAAATATAACCCGTGGCCAAACTGGAATTCTCAGGGACGTAAAGTTAAAGCATTGAGCACATTATACCTAATCAGAAATCTTACTTGTTAAAATGACGAAAAACTTGAAAATAAACTGGGAGGTGGGTTCCACGTTTTCAGTTACTTGTCATTTTCATCAAATTTTGAGATCGTATTTCTGTTGTCACAAAACTGAAGAATTCACTTACCAAAAACACGCAAATTCAACGTAATAAAGGCACGGTTTTTTTAGAGGAGAAATACCGCATTCTATACTCATATCGAAACTGCACTCGAATGCGATATTTTTCCTCTAAAAAAAATCCTTCTTTTATCGCGTTGAATTTCCATGTCAGAAGCAAGTGAATTCTTCAGTTTCGTGATAATAAAATAGATAGTGATAATAAATAATAAAAAAGACAAGTTACTGAAAATATGGAACTAATCGATGCGATATATCGCGTACACGAAATATGGCGTCCATCGAATCACCTCAAACTTAGAACTCAAGTTAGTTTTCAAACAAATAATTCACTCAAACAAGTCATTCATTTATGAACTGAACTATCAATCGCCTTCATACTGTGAGCTAGGCAGAAAGCAAGGCAACGAGGAGTCCTATCCTCCACTTCTGTGACGAAGAAGGAGACGAAGTCGCTTTAGCTTGTGAATGTAACTGACAATTGCATTAGTGCGTTACAATAAAACAAGGGATTTCAATGCATAGACAAATAGTAAGTTCAAGATTAGAACCGGTAGTCTCATTTTCCAGCAGATTTACAGAATGATTTCTATAAGTTTAAAGACACATCGCATGAAACCTATACGAACTTCCATCCCATTCTAAAAATGTTCAACACTTTTAGTGTGTTGTCCTCTTCTGCCAGTAAGATTCAAAAGTGTATGAATGATCAACCTATGTTACACCAACTGTAGATACCAACCTAACCAACCATACATACCAAAATTTCATGCAGATGTCGATATGAGTATTGAAAGAAAATATTCATGCTGGTGTTGGTGTTGGTATGCGGTTGACATATTATCGGTATGGATGTGTGTTTGGTTCGAATAATGTGCCTTAACATACTGTGTGAATGTTCAATTTACATATTTACACTGATCATTTTTTCAAATGTTTAGGAGATAATTTTTCAGCGCAGAAATGAAAAATCCATCCTTGAGCTCTGTGCTCTTCCGCACCTCAAGCCAATTGAAATGCATTCCAAACAGAACATTATTCGGAAGAAGATTAGCAAAACCATCAGGTCAGTAAGAAATTCACCATCCATTTACTGTTAATCATTCCGATTTATCGCTACATTCGATTTTGTAACACTACAAACGAGATGTGCGTTGTTTCAGTATTCCGTCGATAATTGTTTCAGTCTTACAATAACAGCGATGAGGCTCAGTGAATTTGATACCAAATTTGATTTTTTTTTAATTTCCCGATTAAAATGCGATTGTAATTACTGCGAAACGTCTCGGTTTTGTATGTTCTGTTATTTGCGGCTTTAAGTCCCATTGTAAGTTGTTTATTTTTTATTGTCGTTTCGAACCGATTACGTTGTTTTTCCTAATCATCTTTAGTAGACTAGGAAGCTACACCCCCTAATCCTTCGCGGTTCAATCCCCTTCCCTCGGAGCCTCGGAGTGTTTCGCACCTCAGGCGTTATGCGTTATTTTTATGATTTTCTACAGTAAAATAGGATAAATAGACAGCTGACGATACTGACGTGCTAAGGAAGAACCTCGTATGTGCATTCAGACGCTGCTGAATTTCTTTTGACAAAAAACGAATTTTCGGGAGTATTTGTAAATATTTTTTCTCAAATTTTTCAGAGTATATTGTTTCATATTAGATCCGAAATGTCTGAAAATCTCGAGGAAAAATATTCATAACTTGTTTTCAAAATACACATTTTCCGAGAGAAAATTTGGCAACATTTGAATGCTCATACGCCGTTCTTACTTAGCACGGCAAAATAACCCTCGCCCACTTTTCTGTTCTAAAATAAAATTTTAATTTTTTTTCCTTTGGATTCAGGGGTCTCAGCATCTCGGGCATTCGCAGCAGAGGCGCACAGTAAACAACACGACAAGCCAGCTCGAACGTCCCTTTACGACCTGCACGTGCAAAATGGCGGGAAGATGGTTGACTTTGCCGGGTACTTACTCCCGGTGCAGTACGGAAACGTGAGCATAACAGAGTCTCACCTCCACACCAGATCCCAGTGCTCGATTTTCGACGTCTCTCACATGCTCCAAACCGAGATCACCGGCCCCGATGCCTTCGATTTGCTGGAAAGTGTCTGCGTCACTGACGTTCAAGGTTTTAAAAATCTTTTAAATGTGTTCTATCTTCTCAAAAAAAAAAAAAAAAAAAAAAAAAAAAAAAATCATAGGTTATACGTCTGCACGCATCTAACACATGTATACCTATTTAATATAGGTAACAATTTAATACCTATCTATATGGATGTATTTCTACCAAACGGAACTAGGTACATTTTATGAAGTGAGCCCTGTTATGCACACTGGAAAAAAAAAACACATTCGATCTAGAAGATTCCTGCAGATTCTTGAAAACATTGACAAGAAAAAATACTCTTCATTCAATCAGATTTTTGCTTAAATCAAAAAGAAATCCGCTCGATTTAAGAGGCTTGGTTCTTGATTTAAGCAAAAATCCGATTGAATCAAGAGTATTTTTTCTTGTCGATGTTTTTAAGAGTCTGGACTCTAGATTCAATGTGTTTTTTTTCCCAGTGCATGTATTTTTATGGGTCTCAGAGCTCACGTCTTGATGCACATAGTTCCGTTTGGCAGAAATACGTCCATATTGCCGTCGTTTCTCTCACGAAAGAACGTATGACTGCATTTCAATGTTGCCAAGTTAATCCTTACAAACTGCATTTCCGTCAAGAGAATCTTTCGCATTTCTAACTGAAAATATCACTGATTTTTCTTCTGATCTCATGCAAAAATCAGAAAAATTTTGGACAAAAAATTCACAGGTACATTAGACATTCTGATGCAAAATGTATTGTTTTAGTCAATTTGGCGACCTAATTGGAATGGAGTTACGTTTCTTCGTCCAGGAAAATATTTTGTAAGTGTCTGACACTGTATAACAAAGATACGTACCTACAACAATGATACGCGCAACAATGATACGTCTATCAATTTCAATGGTCGCTCCTCAGCGGGCTGATTTTAGAAATCGGGAGACAAAGCTATAGACAAAGAAGACACAGGGCGTGTGGAGCGATCCACTTCGTTGAAATGGGTTGTTCCTGTAGACTAAGGGGGTAAATGATGGACCAGCTGTGGGGTCTCATATGGGTTGCCGTTATTTAGTCTATTACCTACTTCCTTTGTCCATTGCAACCGCCCACTTCCATGAATACTACTGTGCTAAGGAAGAACGCCGTATGATCATTCGAGAGTTGCCAAAGTTCCATCGATGAAATGTTTATCTTTGAGAAAAATTACGAATATTTTTCCTTGAAATTTTCAGAAGTTTCAGATCCAATTACAAACAAAATTATTTGAGAAATTGGTAAACAAATATTAAAAAAAATCTTGAAAATTAGTAATTTGCCAGGAGTAATTTGGCAACGTCTGAAGGCTCATACAGCGTTTTTACTAAGTACGGCAGAACAGGATCCCTCCATATCCCATTCGTCCTCTTTGTCTATCGATTTGTCTATCAATTTCAATAATCAATTTCAATAATAGAAAATGGACGAGAACTCATCGGTCGATGATATGCCTCCTGAAGGCGTTTCCGACAATCATCATCTTCTTATTCAAATTTAATTTTGCTCTTACCTCTTAAATTTATGCACGTTCGATAACAGTTTAATTTCAAATTACTTAGCCCTCTAAATTTTCTGTTCAGTTTTAACAAAAGTTACTAAACCCTGTTTTAATCATTAGTCGATTTTAGCTTTAAATTTAATGTTGAAATTTAAAATGATTTACTCTGCCCTTTTCTTTTTCCTAGATTGGAATTTTATAAATGTAATAGTATTAAGATTTGATGATAAATAAACAACAACAAAAAATTCAATAATCAAACCTCTGACACACTTTATAAATTCCAGGCCTAGGACTCCACAAAAGCGCGCTGAGCGTGTTCACGAACTCCGAGGGCGGGATCGAGGACGACTTCGTGGTGACGAAGAGCGGCGAGCAGAGCCTCTACGTCGTCTCCAACGCGGCGCGAAAGCGCGTCGTCGCCGATCTCCTCCTCACGGCGGCCGACAAGTTCAAATCCAGCGGCAAAACCGCGCAAGTGACGTTCCGGGACCCGGAGGAGCGGGCGCTGCTCGCCGTGCAGGGGCCCCGGGCGGCGCAGATCCTTCAGCCGCTGGTCGATATGGACTTGAGCTCTTTCTACTTCATGTCCAGCGCCGCGGTCGCCCTCAAGGACGCCCCAGACTCGCGGATCACCCGGTGTGGCTACACGGGGGAGGACGGATTCGAGGTGGCGATCGATGCTCGGAAGGCGCCTGATTTCGTTCTGGGTTTGTTGCAGAAACACCCGGATTTGGTCAAGCTGGCTGGTCTTGGAGCCAGGGATTCGCTCAGGTGAGTTGAATTGCAGAAGCAACCTGCGGGCTGATGATTGAAATTAATAGACATAGTAAAAGACAGAGAAGATTTGGGGCAAATGAAGCGATCCTATTGGTGGAAGGAGGAGGTTGCTATGGATGAGGGTGGTAAGTGATTGCAACCGACAAGAGACCTTTAGTCATTTCCCCACCATTCATCATTTTCCCCCTTAGTCTGTAGCAACCACCTGTTTCAACCAAGAGGATTGCTCCATATATCCCCTGTGTCTTCTTTGTCTATCGCTATGTCTATTAATTTAAATAATCAGTCCCCCGCGGGATCATTATTACAATAGATAGATCTAGGCATGACTAGGCATGGTCCGATTGTCGATTCATAATAAGTTAATCAATTAATCGAACGCTTAGTAATCGATTACAATAGTTGATTAACGGCTATCCGATTAACCGTTTAATTGATTGTTAGTTTACGATTAATCAGAGATCAGAGGTTATGTTATAAAAAGTTTTTTCGCGCCAAAGAATCTAATACATTCAAACGATTTTAGTTGCCAAACTAGTCATATTTAGGACATTTCCAAAAAAATCGATTAATTATCGATTATTTTGCCGCCGAGTATTCGCTTGATCGATAAGGTACGTGTTTCGATTAACGATTATACATCATTCGATTTTTTAAATAATCGAACATGCCTACGATAGATAAAGAGGACAAAGGAAAAATGGAGCGATCCTATTGGTGAAGGCGGGTGGTTACAATGCACAAAGAAGGTACTTAAGTAACTAACGGGAACCGGGGAACCTATAAGAGATCTACTGTTAGTCCATCATTTTCTCCCTTGGTCTGCGACAACCACCCATTTCAAACGATAAAGGATCGCTTCATTTTCCCTGGGTCTTCTTTGTCTATCGCTTTGTCTACCAATTTCATTAATCGGTCTGTATTTAGAGCTATCCAATTACCTTACGGTTCAGGTATGAAACCGCTGATTCAAAGTTTCTGGTTACAAAGACAAACTTAAGCGGGCTGATTATTGAAATTGATAAGCAAAGCTATGAACAAAGAAGACAACGGGAAAATGAGGCGTTTATATGAGTGGAAGTGGGTGGTTACAATGGACACATGAGGTGAGTAATAGACTAATCAACGGCAATTCACGAGGGATCGTACAGTCAGTTCATCATTTTCTCCCTTGGTCTACAACAATCACCCATTTCAACCAATGGGATCGCTCAATTTTCCCTATGTCTTCTTTGTCTATCGATTTCAATAATCAGCCGCTGACCTGCGAAGTTACTCGTCTATATTACCAATGCAACTTGTCCAGGTAGCTTTGTTACTCGCATAGATTCACGCATGTCCACCTATGCGTGTAGTAGAATTAGTGTCATTATGTACATCTCTGGAGACTTAAACGCCGGGGTAAGAAAGTAAGCGACAATTTCAAAATTGCAATGATTACTTCAGACTAAAATTGATGATTTTAAGCCAAAAAATGAGTGGCGATTTTTGGAAGTTGTTAAGAATTTACGGCTCATAGTGACGTTTCATTAAAATATTTCATAGAGAATGAAATATTTTTACTTTTTGACAGTCATTCAAAGGTTCAATTGTTTTCCGAGATTTTTGATGACGATTCCCTTTCAAGACAGGTACCTACCAATTTTCGATAATTTTGAAGGCGCCAAGATAGCACTCTAAGCCACTTCTGCCATCTTGGAGATATGAAATTCAAAATTTGGACTGAAAATTCGACCTCTACGTGAAAGACATCCTCTGCCACCAAGTCTCACAAAAATGAATCAAGCAGGCTCCGAGATAGCATTTTAGGCCGCATCCAGAATAATGGATTTTTAAATTATGAAAATTTGAGTTGAAATTCAAGGTTTCCGTCAAAAAATGCCACCTTCTACCGAGTTTCAAGAAACGTCCTGGAGTGTATTGACGGCGGCAATCGTGATCTTCTGCCATCAAGTCGAGGCGACACTCTTGAAGGCGCTCTGAGCAACTATTCCACCTCGGAAGTATTGCACAGTATCAGACGAAATTGAAGGCGCACTAACTTACGCAACTTGACTGGTAGCGTTTATCGTGCGATCTGCAACTCCTGTTCGATCAATTTTTTTGAAACTCAGTACCACGTGGTATTTTTTGACGGATAACCTGAATTTTAACTAAAATTTTCATAATTCAAAAATGCAAGATAGTGGATTTGGTCTAAGATGCTACCCCGGCACCTGTTTGATTCCTTTCTGTGAGACTTGGTGGCAATGGATGTTTTTCACATGAGGTCGAATTTTCATTCAAATTTTTAAAATTAAAAAGTCGGAGATGGCGGATGTGGCCGAGCTATCTTGATGCCTTCGAAATTATCCGACTTTGCAATCGAGGTATCTATCCTTTTTAAGTTCAGTTTCAAATCGATGAACTCTCATCTAACTTAAACCTCGATATCGGCTCGCTCTTCAACCATTAAGAAATGAATCTGTTTGTTTTGTTTGTATTTTTTTTTTTAAATTATTCATTTATTTATTTTTTATTCCACTTCCAACAGGAGTCGCATATCGCACGATCTATAGGACTCTACGGATGCCAGTAAATTTACATTCGTTAGTGCGCCTTCAATTCCGTCTGATACTTTGCAATACTTCCGAGGTGGTATAGTTGCTCAGAGCGCCTTCGAGAGTATCGCCTCGACTTGATTGCGGAAGATCACGATTGCCGCTGATATTACACTCTAACGCGTGCGCAGTTACACATTTTCTCATTACCGACGGCGAGATAAAAAACATCTTTACCTCGATTTGCGACGTTGCAACTTTTACACTGCCTTTTTTGAATGAGTAAAAGAACATGAAAACTTTAAAATCTGCCGTAATTTTTCCAAGATGTGACAAAATACATTATTTGAATGTGCTGCTATCGAGCTGATAATAACAGTGATTGTCACTTACTACGTTACGGTGCCTTATTCCTCATTACCTCTTCGGGCCCATTTACGTCCAGAGTTAAAACATTTCGGGTCTGTTTTTGTTCGTTCGAGGATTTCTACCTACCACTTCTTATTCTCCTGTTTAATTTAAGCATACACTTTAGACATTAGACTGAAGTGAAACATTCAAATTCAACAGACATTGTTATTATCAGCTCGCTAGCAACACATTCAAATAATGCTTTTTGTCATATCTCGGTAAAATTACGGCAGATTCTAAGTGTTCGTGTTCTTCTACCCGTTTAAAATAGGCAGAGAAAAAGTTGCAAATTGTGGTATGGATGTATTTCACCTCTCCGTCGATGATGAGAAAATGTGTAAATCCACACGTTCTGGGGTGTCATGTCGGCGGCAGTCGTGATCTTCTGCCATCAAGTCGAGGGGATACGCTTGAAGGCGCTCTGAGCAACTATTCCACCTCGGATGTATTGCACGGTATCAGACGAAATTGAAGGCGCACTAACGTAGGCAAATTGACTAGTAGCGTTTATCGTACGATATGCGACTCCTGTTCGCTCGATTTTCTTAAAACTCGGTGCCAGGTGGCATTTTTTGACGGAAAACCTGATACAACATAGACTAGGCACGTTTCGATTATCGATTCATAATATTCGAGCGCATAATAATCGATTACAGTAATCTATTTACAGTTATCTGAGTCTAATCGATTGTTAGTTTACGATTAATCAGCAATTTGAGATTACGTTAAAAAAACGTGTCCTAGCTCTAAAAATACTAACATTCAAAAGATTTTAGTGGTCAAACTAGCCATTTTTAGCCCTTTTCGAAAACAGCGATTAATTATCGATTATCGATTAATCTATTATTTTGCTGTCGATTGATGTCTCTCTCCCTCTCTTGTTTTTACAGCTTTTATCCCAATTTTTGTGTCATTGTTTAATGTCTTGACCGATTAGCTAGGTACATAGTTCGATTACCGATTATCGATCATTCGATTATTTAAATAATTGAGCATGCCAACGATAGATATAGAGGATAAAGGGAAAATGAAGCAATCCTGTTGGTGGAAGCGCGCAGGTGGTTGCGATGGACAAAAAAGACAAGTAACGAACGGGAACTTACGTGGAACCTTATAGTTAGTCCATCATTTTCCTCCTTAGTCTATAGCAGTCATCCGTTTCAACCGATGGGATCGCTTCATTTTCCCTATGTTTCGTCATCTATCGCTTTGTCTACCAATTTAAATAATCAGTCTGTGGGTAGAGCTATCCAATTACCTTACGGTCCAGGTATGAAAGCCGCCGATTCCAAGTTTTTGGTATTAAAGACAAACTTACGCGGGCTGATTATTGAAATTGATAAACAAAGCTATAAACAAAGAAGAAAACGGGAAAATGAGGCGTTTATATGAGTGGAAGCGGGTGGTTACAATGGAAACAAGCAGTAACTCCAGCGCACTGCCGCTGGAGAGCGGCTCTGGGCCGCTCACATCCAAGAAATATATAAACTACTAGCCGTGTTCAGCTCGCTGTGCGAGCTGTCACGCCTAGCCGGAGGGTGCCCCTGGACCCCCAGTTCCTCGCTTCGCGATGAACTTGCGACTCGTTCCGCGAGCCGCCCCTCATAGCTATTAACTTTTAAAAGAACGAATTTACTTTTTTTAACGAAGTATGGTGAATAGTGGCGAATATGTTATCTCTGCCATCATCCACAATCAGCAGACTTAGAATTTTAAGCCACGGCCGCAATCTTGGATTTTAAATTTTGAAATTTTTACAATCTGACCAAAAATTCGAGTTTCCCGTTGAAAAATACATCCGGATACTGAGTCTCACGAAAATCGATCAAACAGGCGCCGACTTAGCATTTTAGGCCACGGCCACCATCTTGGATTTTAAAATTTTGAAATTTTTACAATCTGACCAAAAATTCGAGTTTCCCGTTGAAAAATACCTCCGGATACTGAGTCTCACGAAAAGCGATCAAACAGGCGCCGACTTAGCATTTTAGGCCACGGCCGCCATCTTGGATTTTGAAATTTTGAAAATCTGACCAAAAATTCGAGTTTCCCGTTGAAAAATACATCCGGATACCGAGTTTCACGAAAATCGATCAAACAGGCGCCGACTCATGTGAAAAGCATCCATTGCCACCAAGTCTTACAGAAAGGTATCAGACAGGGTGCCGGGGTAGCATCTTAGACCAAATCCACTACCTTGCATTTTTGAATTATGAAAATTTTAGTTAAAATTCAGGTTATCCGTCAAAAAATACCACGTGGTACTGAGTTCCAAAAAAATTGATCGAACAGGAGTCGCAGATCGCACGATAAACGCTATCAGTCAAGTTGCGTAAGTTAGTGCGCCTTCAATTTCGTCTGATACTGTGCAATACTTCCGAGGTGGAATAGTTGCTCAGAGCGCCTTCAAGAGTATCGCCTCGACTTGATGGCAGAAGATCACGATTGCCGCCGTCAATACACTCCAGGACGTTTCTTGAAACTCGGTAAAGGATGGCATTTTTTGACGGAAACCTTGGAAATTTTGAAAATCTGACCAAAAATTCGAGTTTCCCGTGGAAAAATACCTCCGGATACTGGGTCTAACGAAAATCGATCAAACAGGCGCCGACTTAGCATTTTAGGCCCCGGCCGCCATCTTGGATTTTGAAATTTTGAAAATCATCGACGTATCGATATTATCACCATGATTTCAAAAATACGCTACACAACACAGCATTCGCTCAAAAGAAAAAACAATGAATTAAAATAAAATCATGGCAAGGTCCACAGCCGAAAATGGCGACGATTCCAATCTACCAACGCGCGCTCTAACCAATGGTAAGTGTACCATTGGTAACATCCACTGCAGAGACCGACCGGAATAGCAGCTCTAGGTGCTAGCACCAGAACCGCTAAAATGAAGTGAGTAATAGACTAATCAACGGCAATTCACGAGGGATCGTATAGTCAGTTCATCATTTTCTCCCTTGGTCTAGAACAATCACCCATTTCAACCAATGGGATCGCTCAATTTTCCCTATGTCTTCTTTGTCTATCGCTTTGTCTATCGATTTCAATAATCAGCCCGCTGACCAGCGAAGTTACTCGTCTACATTACCAATTCAACTAATTCAGGTAGCTTTGTTACTCGCATAGGTTAAAGCATGTCCACCTATGCATGTAGCAGAAGTAGTGACATTATGTACATCTCTGGAGACTTAAACGCCGGGGTAAGAAAGTAAGCGACAATTTCAAAATTGCAATGATTACTTCAGACTAAAATTGATGATTTTAAGCCAAAAAGTGAGTGGCGATTTTTGGAAATTGTTAAGAATTTCCGGCTCATAGTGACGTTTCATTAAAATATTTCATAGAGAATGAAATATTTTTACTTTTTGACAGTCATTCAAAAGTTGAATTGTATTCCGAGAGTTTTGATGAGGATTCCTTTAAAAGACAGATTCTCACCAATTTTCGATAATTTTGAAGGGGCCAAGATAGCACTCTACGCCACTTCCGCCATCTTTAAGCTTTGAAATTCAAAACTTTGACTGAAAATTCGACCTCTACGTGAAAAACATCCACTGCCACCAAGTCTCACAAAAATGAATCAAGCAGGCTCCGAGATAGCATTTTAGGCCGCATCCAGTATAATGGATTTTTAAATTATGAAAATTTGAGTTAAAATTCAAGGTTTCCGTCAAAAAATGCCACCTTGTACCGAGTTTCAAGAAACGTCCAGGAGTGTATTGACGGCGGCAATCGTGATCTTCTGCCTTCAAGTCGAGGCGATACGCTTGAAGGCGCTCTGAGCAACTATTCCACCTCGGAAGTATTGCACAGTATCAGACGAAATGGAAGGCGCACTAACGTAGGCAACTTGACTGATAGCGTTAATCGTACGATATGCGACTCCTCTTCGATTAATTTGTTTGAAACTCGGTACCAGGTGGTATTTTTTGACGGAAAACCTTACTTTCAACTCAAATTTTCATTATTCAAAAATTCAAGATAGTGGATGCGTTCTAAAATGCTATCTCGGCACCTGTTCGATTCCTTTCTGTGAGACTTGGTGGCAATAGATATTCTTCACATGAGGTCGAATTTTCATTCAAAATTTTAAAATTCAAAAGTTGGAGATGGCGGATGTGGCCGAGAATGCCATCTTGGTGCCTTCGAAATTATCCGACTTTGCAATAGAGGTGTAGTCTATCCCTTTTAAGTTCAGTTTCAAATCGATAAACTCTCAGCTAACTTAAACCTCGATATCGGCTCACTTTTAAACCGTTATGAAATAAATATGTTTTTTTTTTTTTAAAATTATTCATGTATTTATTTTTGAATTCCATTTCCAACAGGAGTCGCATATCGCACGATCTATAGGACTCTACGGATGCCAGTAAATTTACATACGTTAGTGCGCCTTCAATTCCGTCTGATACTGTGCAATACTTCCGAGGTGGTATAGTTGCTCAGAGCGCCTTCGAGAATATCGCCACGACTTGATGGCGGTAGATCACGATTACCGCTGATATTATAATCTAACGCTTGCGCAGTTACACATTTTCTCATCGCCAAAAGTGAGATAAAGAAAACGTCCATACCTCAATTTGCGACGTTGCAACTTTTTCACTGCCTATTTTGAATGAGTAAACGAAAATGAACACTTTAAAATCTGCCGTGATTTTTCCAAGATAAGACAAAGTACATTATTTGAATGTGCTGCTGGCGAGCTGATAATAACAGTGATTGTCATTTAGTACGTTTCGGTGTCTTATTACCTCTTCGGGCTCATTTACGTCCAGGATTATAAAATTTCGGGTCTGTTTTCGTTTGTTCGAGGATTCCTATCTACCACTTCTTATCCTCCCGTTTGATTTAAGCATAAAGTTTAGACATTAGACTGAAATGAAAAATTCAAATTCATCAGTTATTGTTATTATCAGCTCGCTAGCAGCACATTCAAATAATGCTTTTTGTCATATCTCGGAAAAATTACTGCAGATTTTAAGTGTTCGTGTTCTTCTACCCGTTCAAAATAGGCAGTGAAAAAGTTTGCAACGTCGCAAATTGAGGCATGGATATTTATTATTTCACTGTCGGTGATGGGAAAATGTGTAACTACGCACGCGTTAGAGTGTAATATCGGCGGCAATCGTGGTCTTCTGCCATCAAGTTAAGTCGATACTCTTGAAGGCGCTATGAGCAACTATGTCACCTCGGAAGTATTGCACAGTATCAGACGAGATTGAAAGCGCGTTAAAGTTGGCAAATTGACTGGTGGCGTTTATCGTGCGGTATGCGACTCCTGTTCGATCGATTTTCTTGAAACTCGGTGCCAGGTGGTATTTTCTGACGGGTACCCTGAATTTCAACTCAAATTTTCATAATTCAAAACTTCAAGATAGTGGATGCGGCCTAAAATGCTTTCTCGGATCCTGTTTGATTCATTTTTGTGAGACTTGGTGGCAGTAGATGTTTTCCACTTAGAGGTCGAATTTTCAGTCAAAGTTTTAAATTTCAAAACTCCAAGATGGCGGAGGTGGCTGAGAGTGCTAAATTGAGGTATGGATGTATTTCATCTCTCCGTCAATGATGAGAAAATGTGTAAATCCACACGTTCTGAGGTGAAATGTCGGCGGCAGTCGTGATCTTCCGCCATCAAGTCGAGGCGATACGCTTGAAGGCGCTCTGAGCAACTATTCCACCTCTGAAATGTTGCACAGTATCAGACAAAATTGAAGGCGCACTAGCGTTGGCAAATTGACTAGTAGCGTTTTTCGTACGATATGCGACTCCTGTTCGCTCGATTTTTTTAAAACTTGGTGCCAGGTGGCATTTTTAAATTTAAAAATCCAAGATGGCGTATGTGGTCTAGAATACTATCTTTGTGCCTTCGAAATTATCCGACTTGGCAATCGAGAAGTTCAGTTTCAAAATTGATGTACTCTCAGCAACTTAAACCTCATTATCGGCGCGCTCTTCAACCCTTCTGTCATAAATCTGCTTGTTTTTTTAAATTATTCATGTATTTATTTTTTTATTCCATTTCCGGAGGAATATAATTCAATTTTGTAGTCTTTATATTACAGACGCAAAAGCAAAGGATAGAAAAGGGCTCAATGGATACTTCTCGCCCTCTTGTTATACTATTTACTACGATAGGTACTGCTTGACTGCGATTTTGTAGTTTCACGCAATTTCATGGTTATATAAATTGTTGAGCTTGCACATTTCTAGTGTTCAGCGCAACATAAAATGAAATCAATGTGTTGAAATAAATATAAAAATAAATTATTACTTACTATGTTTATTTCCGTATTTACAGGATAGAGGCCGGCTTATGTCTTTATGGAAATGAAATCGATTCAACCACGACACCGCCAGAGGCAGGTCTTACATGGACCATTGGTAAGTTTCAATATTTTACCCCCATTTAGATAAGGGGTCGTTCATAAATTCTGTAATGTCTTAGGGGAGAAGGGGGTTGAGGAGAGCGTTACGCCTTTTTATGTTTGGATTCTTTTGTCAAGGCATAGGAACCTACGTCACAAACATGTTACGAGAGGGAGGGAGGTCAAAACTGCAAAAAAGAGAATTAATATTTAAGCTGATAGCCCGAAAAATAAAATAAGAATTTTACAGAGGAGCGCACCTAAGTTAATCAGTCTTGTGGAGCAAGGGAAACTACTGAATGGCTGAAGTAAAAAAATATGTACCTCAATCCATCGTGCAGCCACGGTTAAAACTCTCTATTTATGTTTTATTTACTTAAAGGATAACTGACCATAAAATCCTCCTCATATCTCCTTGAAATATTTTGCGCATTATCTAAAAACTCTCTTCAGTCATTCAAAATTTTGCGCAGAAAATAAAATTTCTAAAAAACTCTTGGTTGATTTACAAGGAAAAAATAAGACAAGAGCGGAGACTTGCAACGGTCCAGTCGGAATAAGAAACGGCAGATTTTCTCTTTTGGCAAGTTTCAGCCCTAAAAAGGATGGTAGCCCCTGCACATGAGCCTAAAGAATCATTCTAAACCGAAAAGTTGGCAACATTCACAGAAATGAAAGCAGAATACTCTTTGGAAAAAAATTTGGCACTCGATAAAGAAATCGATAGTTGCATCAATTGCAAGATTGTTTCCACACAGGATTCTGCTTTCATTTCCCTAAATTTTGCCAAATTATTGTTTTAAAATGATTTTTTAGGCTCATGCGCAGAGGCTATCCTCCTTTTTTAACTAAGAATTCAAAATCTGCAAAGATTTTTAACATTATCGATGCAGCATATTGCATACCAGTTCGAACACGTCAGAAACCTTAACGAATCGCCTTAAATATGAGAGCCAAATTTTGATTATTATTACAGGAAAGAAACGACGCGAAAGAGCAGATTTTCCCGGCGCGTCGAAGATTCTGGAGCAAATCAAGGAAGGCGGCGCATATAAACAAAGAGTTGGGCTCGTACAAGGGGGCAAAGGATTGTGCCCACGAAATGGAGCTGAAATTCTCACATTGGACATAGCTCCGCATTACTACCCGGTTGGCAAAGTGACCAGTGGATGTCCGTCTCCAACCCTAAAGACAAACATAGCCATGGGAACTTTACCCAGGTCTCTTGCAAAGCCTGGCAATGTGGTCTTCATCGCGAATAAAAACAATCTGACGAAACTGACTGTAACAAAAATGCCGTTTGTGCCTGCGAAGTATTTTACTAAGCCCAAGAAGAAATAAACGATACGTTTGGTCTAGGTTTATATATTTGATCTGAATATGAGATGAAACTTTAGCCAGTACACAAGCAGCATTTATCAACAGAAAAATTGCGGTATTTTGAAATTAAGTTGCGATTTTTTAGCGATAAAATCGCTAGGATCATCAACATCTGAGCGATTGTTTTCAATTTCCCTGTAATTTTCTCACTAAAAAATCGCAATCCATAAAATCGAAATTTTATCTCATGTTAATTGTACAGACACTTCCCTAAATTGCTGCAACAACTACACCACAATCACCACATTTAAAGTCATTACCTGAATGTTATAAAAATTGTGCAAATTTATCATCTTCTCAGCGGAAAATCAAAAGGATGTAATTTTGTAGTTTTTGTATTTGTTTTCCTCACTTTTCTCTCATGATAACGTACGAAAAATGAACATCAATAATTTGATAAATAATAGCCTCAAGAAATTTTTTCTGAGAAACCCATCATCATGAATTAATTTGGATCCATACTAAAAAAAAAGAAAAAAAGAAAAATTGAGATTTAGTTGCTTAGTTTTTGAACAAAGAGGATGTAAACACAGTACCTTGTTTACTACCACGATGCAATTAGTTTTGGCCGGCGCATAATGCTCTGTTTACCATCTGGATATGTAATCTACGGCAATTTTGAAAAGAATCGGATCCTGAAAAACATCAGTTGGTGGAGAAATAACAAAAATAGAAACATTCAAATATTTGACTAGCAGTTTTAATGCAACAATGAAAGAATCCATGATTTGATTGTTGATTATCAATGCGGTTGATTTACGATAATTGGAAATTTAAAAACAAGATACAAACTGCTATATAAAATACACGAAGATTACTTCAATCATAATTCTACTGCTTTAAGAATTTGATGGCAGAACAATGTTTAACACTGTTATGGCACCTTCATACAGCTAACCTACATTCAATTGATGTCTGTTCTGTACGATATTTCCTGATGAGGCAACCTTCAACATTTTGATAACGATTCTATTATCACCAAAATCAAAGATGTTCCGAACAAGTTTTGCTGTTGATACTGACAGTTATTGTTATGGTAAGAACAAAACAATCATTAATTGAAAGAATGAGGTTGGAGCATATAGATCTGACTTACATAGTGAGCAACATAAGTTTTAAGAACCTAATTGTGACCATTCACAAAAAACAGGACCTCAGCATAAAAAAACCAGGAATTAACAGATACTGCCATAGGAGGGTGTTTTTAGAATATATTTTGTCACAAAAACTTATATGAATATCAAAACATACTAGAAGTATGACAGTTCAAAATGTATAGTTTTATGGATATGGTTTTGATATTAAAAGAAAAAAAAAACTGAACTTTCTTGTTATGAGCTCACAACTACGGACTTAAGTCCAACTTTATTCCCTCCATTTGTACGAAAATGAATAAAACCATTCAAAATTGGTTGTTCAGAATACAAGAAAATGTTTTTGATTGGAAAATTCAATCCTGATTTTTCGACGCAACGTAATAAAAGCCCCTTTTAATTAAAATTTGTCTACACGAGCTAATTTTCTTCCTCTTGTTGACGTCAAAAGTGAGAGTCACAGATCCTGCGATGGTCTTACACCTATGATATAGAAACAAAATATTTGAATGGCAAAGCCAGAAACTCAGTTTGAGATTAAAACAATTAATCAATGGACGGAATTCTCAAGAACAAGAAACAGTATAAATAAAATTGGAGTTCAACCAAATTACCTGACGACCCTGCAATATGCATGTGTATTTATTGTTTCAGTTTTACTTTTTCGTCTTGAAAATTATCATTAGGACTTGGGATCATGAGGAAAGCTCGTACAAAAAGTCTTAAAAAATCTTGAAAAGTAATTAACCTTGAAAGAAAAAGAAGAAACAAAAGCTCTGTAATTGCTGAAGCAGATGGTAAAGAAAAGACATACGGGACATGGTTGTGCAAAAAGGAACTGCCATATGAAAATTGTAAACCTGGGCCATAAATTTATTAAAGTTTGAGGTGGGCGCTGTTGAACAGGGAATAGTGCTACGGTTTCCAATTTCACACCATACAACATTTTTATGTTTACTATTTGGGGTTTTTTTAAAACAATGTACCCAATTTTGAAATCTTAAGCTCTGAAAATAATGAATTGAAAATGTTCAACTATGAAATTTTTTTCAGCTTTAACCACCATTACCACTAACCATTTTAAAAATTGAAAAAATTAATAAATTAAATGGTTGCTGATCATGATATAATCATTAATCCGGATGCATTCTGCGGATTGTAGCCCATCATAACTCTCCGATACTAGAAAAGGACGACCTACAGAGGCGTCTGATTTATAATAAAAAATCAAAGTGAGTTTTCGCACTCTCATTTTTCTGTACTTTCATTTTTCTCAGCGAATATAACTTACGCACTCGTTAGTTTGTAACTGGCTTAAATGTTTCAAATTTTCTTAATGTATGAATGAATGAATGAATAAATGAATAAAATAAAATTAAATATTAGAAAATTAGAAAGACTTGCCACAGGTTGACACATGAAAAGAAATAAGATAAAGAAAGTATGAAAAGAGGAAAGCATTAGCGTGTTTCAGATAAATTAAACTGTTAACTTGGAATGGGAACACAATGGTCTGTATCATATAAACAACTTTAACCGGGTAATAAATAATGAGTTCCATATTTTCTACCTAAGGTCCTCGAAATTTTCCAGCATAGCATAAATGAAGAGCCCCCATTTACTCAAGGCAGCACCAGTGAAAAGGAGGTAAGGCTCCTTGAAACTTAACAGAATGATAAACTTTAATAATTGATAAAGTAATAACTTATCCTAACTTAATTTATAGAAGGTCTGGTACTGGTTTTTTCACACACAGTTTCATGGGTCCTTGTCTCGGACCTCTCTTAACTTCTTGATCTTTTTGGCGTTGGCGTCGTTCCGGTCTTTTCTTTTCTGATGGTTCGATGACAGATTCCGAGCCTAAAATAACCACAAATAGTAAGTCTCAAAAAGAAATCAAATTATATTTAACAGTGAGACAAGAAAAACGGATCAAAATATTTAGTCGAATTTGAGAGAACTTCTTTCAGAGAAATCGAATATCGACAGTGAAACTACCAGACCCTGTATCTTCTGAGCGGTGTTTGAAAATCTTCGCTCTCATTTTATTTTTTTGAAGGAGAACAAATCAATATCAATCCTTGAAATTTTCACAGAGTTTTCTATGTATAGAGAAGAAAAAACGTGACATTTTTCAAGAATTGACTTTGAGTAGTTTCCCATTTAAAAAATTAAGTATGACAGGAAGTGTACAACGTTGCAAACTGAGATACATGGTCTGGTAATTTCACCAGAGATATTCATCATATACGAAAGGAAGCAAAATTGATATTTGAACGGTGAAAGACATGGCATAGTCTCATTTCAGTGGCAGAAAGGAGATTGCGCTTAGTTCCCTGACAGTTCCAGCTAGTTTCTGTACTCAGCTGAAGTCAATATTTTTAGTCCTAACGGAAAAAGCAAAACTAATATTTGAACAGTGAAATACATCGCAAAGTCTCATTTTAATGGAAGAAAGGAGGGTGCGCTTGGTTCCCTGACAGTTCTAGCTAATTTCAATACTCAGTTGAAGCCAAAACTTCTAGTCCTGATGGAAAGGAAGGGTCTCTTAAATTGTTTGGTAGTAGGTACCACTAAATTCTAGATAATGAACATGGGCAATATTTATTAGTAACTTCCTCATGCCTATCAACTATTTTTCTGGTCATGGATTTGACTGACATCTCAGTGCCATTTCAAACAGATTTATTGGCTTACAATGATCTCACCTGAGAACGTATTGAAACTCACTCTTTCACAATATTAACAAAATTCACACAACTCACCTGGTCCTACATCATCTATGACACTCCAATTTGCATCATCCCAATTACTAAGTGAATTCTGATGTGAGCTAGAGTTTTCCTGCAAAACATAACAGAGAAAGATTAAACCAAGACAAATTCAGCAGTGTAGGCCTTTGAAAAATCTAAGGAGGCTCTCCCTTCACCATAATTCTTCTTCGGTTTTTTGGATCTTCTTTGGTCAATAAATCAGTAACATGACGGAAGGTCAAAATGTCAAATAGTATCCCTAGATTTGTACTTAACAAAGAAGTTTAATAAACCTACATGAACAAACTATTAAATTACAGGCATCGTCCGTATGTTTTAACCTACAGTGTGCAGCGATTCGGTCAAACACCAAAATAAAAATTTACAGAGAGAAAATGTGCAAATGTTGGACTTTGATATTTTGCAATAAAAACCAAACTAAAGATAAGTTTAGAGGAATTGCACAAGCATTGGATGTGCTTTTTAAAAAGAAAAAACACATACACAATACTTGATTTAAAAAAAATCTGCTCTAAACTTGCGTTGCTGACTAACCTGATTATTGGAGAGATATGAGAAATTGGACTTGTCATGGTTCTGCTTATTGTTAGCATCGGTCATACTATTTTCATCATCCTCTTCTTCTTCGACAGTCTGGAATAGAATAAAAGTTATTCAAAATCAAACAGAGCGGGGAAAAAGTCTAGAGTTCAATGACTACTTGCGTAGATGGCTCAAAATAAAGGTGTCTCATTTTAGCCATGGTTTTCAAAAACGGGAATTTAATTTTTTAGTTCATTGCACTTAAATACAGCATTTGATATCCTTTCAGCAAACAACTTGAGACCATCATCTTTTAACTGCGAAAGTATTTGTGAGAAATTATGCTATCATTAAAGCATCTTGTTTTTAACAAGCCAACAGAAAGAAAAATGCTGTCAATGAGAGTCTTAATGTGTCCGCAAGCTTGAGGGATTGAGGAATGAATCTACACATTCACTTCTCACATGGTGAGTCTTTGAAAAAATGCGTGCTTTCTAAAAATAATGTCAGGATAACAGTGCATCTTACATTTTGATAGTTGGTTTTCATTGGTTTGTTCCTTGCTCTTCTTTTAAATTAATTTTTACAGAAAATGATTACATCTTCAATTTTATCATTATAAGAAATCACAATGAAACTTTTGAGTTTAAGTTCCGCTCAACAAAAAATAATGCACTCCTTGGTTCTGTACTCTCTTGTAATGATAAATTGTTAAACAAATTTAGCCTTGAAAGGAAACGGGAAAGTACAAATCCTGATAATTTTATTACGATTTTTTAGGTATAAAAAGAAAATACGAATCTTCAAAGGTGATTAGGCAAAAACTACTGGTATAAAAAGCAAAAGACGCTTTAATACTTACCAATTTCTCATCCATGAGCCCCCATTCCGTAGATTTTCCTGACATAGAATGAACGTGGAATTTTGATGGTTGGTCACCGCTTGCCTGTGACAAAAAATTTAAGCTCAGATATAAATACGTATAATGTTGACAAACTAAAAGCATATTTTGGAGTTAGATTTTGCAAAAGAAACTTAATTTGAAGTTACTTTCTCCTTCCTTCATTAGACACAGTGACTAAAATCTATCAAAGGTTCATGCCTAAAGGGAGATAAGTGTATTTCTGTAAATCTCTTACATATGATCTACAGTCTTAAACTGCCTCAAAAAAATATTTTTTCTTGCCATTTATAATTAAATCAGCTCAAGGAATTGAATTCAAAGTGCGGAATGTTCATTTTTAAGAAAACTGCAAAAAACAGTCCCTGTTTTTAAGAATTAGGATGGCGGAAGGTTCAAAGCGTTAGCATACAAGTTTCAAAAATATTTGATTTAGGTATCAAATAGTCAATAAACTGTTTAAAAAAGCATTGAGAGGTTGTAAATATAAGTATTGTAAAGTTGCTGTCACATTGAAAGTCTTGTCTGTACATTCTGACAGCAAGCGCATGAGCACAGACTGCACAGTAGGCAAAGAGCTGCTGCCAGATGTCCATTTTGCCTGCAATTGTCGGTGAACGTACAGACAAACGGTTATTGCAACAGCAGCGTAAAGATGAAAAGGCGTAAAAACTTACGTCAATTTCGCCCCAGTTCTGAGTGTCCCATGAGTCATCGTAATCGGAAAATGATTCGTTTCCTTTGCTTGCTTCTTCCAAAGATGTAACACTTGAAGTAGTCGTTGACATACTGCTACTTGACTGATGCTCTGTGTCAAACAAACGATATAATAAAAGAAAAAGCTTGAGGTGATTTGATGGACGCCATATTTTGTGTCAGAACGGCATGCGATACATCACATCAATTGATTCCATTTTCTCAGCTACTCGTCATTTTTCTCCAATTTTGAGATCGCAATTCTGTTGTCAGGAGACTAAAGCACTCGCATACCAATTTTAACCAAGAAATTGAACGTAATAAAGGCATGGTTTTTTCAGAGAGAAAATATCGCATTCGAGTGCAGTTTCGATATCATTATCGAATGCGATGTTTTCTCTCTGAAAAAACCGCGCCTTCATAAGGTTGAATTTCTTTGTTAAAATTGGTAAGTGAGTGCTTTGGTCTCCTGAAAAGAGAATTGCGATCCCAAATTGGAGGAAAATGACGAGTAGCTGAAAAAATGGAGCCAACTGATGCGATATATCGCATGCTGTTCTGACACAAAATATGGCGTCCATCGAATCACCTTTAAAAAAAGGAGATTCTGTCTCCCTTAAAAATTGATTAATCGGATTATACTTGAGCTAAAATGATGATAAAAATTATCGCAAGAAACAAACTTCATTGTATATTTTGAGCTCAAAGTGTTTTTGGAGATGGAAAATGAAAAAAAAGCATTAAAACCAGTCATGTAACCAAATCTTAACACTTTTGCCGGTTTCTATTGAGCAGAGCCAAACATTTCTGTGTTTTGAAAGTAAAGTTACTAGAATCCATTCGACGGTCCTGTTCTCACTGTCAAATTAAATTGCTTACATTTGCTTTCTGCTGGATCACTAGAAGAAGCTAGGTCAAGTACAAAGTCAAGCAAAAAATAAAATACAGATTTGTCGAAGAAAAATGTTGGCTGGATTTTTCATCTTGATTGTGAGTTGAATTAGCCACTCATTCTACAAAACGACGAATGGGGAAAATATTCGAGACAATCAATACAATAAGGGGTAGACTGCAGGAAGGAAAACCTTATTCACCTAGAGATCCTGGTTTGTGTAAATTTTTACTGGGGTGAACAATCACAGATTTGGTGGTATCCGATTGGCTACGGTAGAATTTGGAAGAGACAGCGCTGACAGCCCAACCAGCCCACGTTGCAGCTGCATTGGATAGACTTGGGGCAGCAGTATGCACATCAGCCTCTGAAAAGTTCAAAAATTGTACAATCACAGAAAAAAAAAACTTTTAAAAATTCAGAATCTGATGATCAAAAAACAATGCAATCTAATGATTAAAATATTGTGGTATCTTACAGTCAAAAGATTCTGTTAATTTTTTCAGATAACATTGAGGACTTGGATTTCTACATTACAGTGTTTCAAAGTCTCTACCATCTATTTCTCACCGCAAAGAGCCTAAATTAGGTGCTAAAGATTTTAAGGTTAAATTATTGCTACTAATTCTCACTGAAATTTCCATCCCTCTGTAAGTATTTTCTCCTGCAAAGAGTAAATATGTGAGAGGATATTCTCAAACACACGATCCTTTAATTTTAGGGTTACGCTAGAGTGACATAATTCAGAGAAAATGAGTAACCGTTCCAAAGAAATGAAACTCTCAAGTTTGACCCCAGGCAAGAGCTCAAGTTCACTGGTTTTCTTTCCTGTTACTCTAAAAAACTACTTAGAAATACTTTTCAAAATTGAGTCTTCACGAAATCTTCATACAATACTTTGATCGTGAGAATTATTTTGATGATACAAAAATCAATAAAAATAAATGTGCTGTGTAAACATTGGGAGGTTTTAAATAATACTTTTTTCTCATCATAGAACACACAGAAAATAAAATTTACGGAAGTAACATCCCAGATTTTGAAAATCTGCGCGACAACTCATGAATGTCCATTTAAAAGCTACAATTGTTAATTCAACGTAGCAAGGATGTTACTTACACAGCCGAAGAGTCCATAACAACATTCAAGAGGTATTGAGCAGATTTTTAACATCCAGGATGTTACTTCAGCAAATTTTTTTTTTCTGTACAAATTTTAAAATTCATTAGCGAGTAGGAATGTTTAAATAATTATTACCATTACCAAGTAAGAAAAAAAGAATGGTAGGGGCAGTCTAAAAATAAATAATTTTTAAGGGACTTACCCATTGATTCTTGTAAACTTGGATCTTCTGAAAATTTTTCTAGTTTCCCTAAAAATCCTTTGATGGTGCGAAAGGCATTATCTCTGACAGATTTATCAGGATCAACTGTCAACTGACATAGAGCTGGTAAAATTTTACGAGCTATTTCATTTAAGAGGAAGTATTGCTGAGAGGCTGCAAGCGCCATAATTCCTGATAAATAAGAAACATAACTTAAATAAGGTCTGGGTGTTAAACAGAGCAAAATTACAACATGATTTCATATTTTATTATTGCGATTTTTTCATTTAAATGTGTTACAGTTGTCCTGTTTCCTATTGAATTTTCTTCAATATAATAGTTTTTTAAATATATTCTTAAAAATCAATTCTTCTAAAATATATTCTATTTGAAAAATAGTCTTCTGATTATTTTATACCTTGACCGCCAGCGTGGTCATAGTGACCATCTTTTCCTTAGCTGGCCCAGCCAAAACGGTCACAAAGACCAGCATTAAAGCGCCCTTTCATAGCGCTACTGTGCAATAGAGGCGCCATTAGAGGGTCCCGTACAGAGCTACATAATTGTAGAGCACTAGATACATGTGTTATCAATAGAAAGCACTTCCTTAAGGTTTAAAGTTTAACCTGCCTACTTATTAAGTGATCAGGAAAATCTTTGGTGACGGTTGACTGGTACGTCACTCTAAAGGCTTATTGATGTGACATGAACTCAATGTACAAGAGAAAGCTCAACCAAGAAAGTTAAAACATTTCTCATGCTGAGAGGATGATTAATTTATGTTGATGTTTTATTTAAGGCAGCTTATGGCAGTTTATTCCAAAGCTGATTTGAAAGAACACAAAAGAAATTGAATTTCTGCCTGTGTTTTTCCTCTTCAAATTATATGCATCTACAGAGGATGAATGAGTGTGCTCTATGTTTCAATTTTGGACAACTGTCCGTTAAGATAAACACAAATTTTTATCAAAATCTATCAATTTTCATGACTTTTACTTATTCATACGTCAATTTTTATCCATTTCTGATCAATTATATTCCCTTCACTTTTCTCTGATACGTTAATGGCTTGACAAACAGGGCTCATACTTTACTCAAAGGGAAAAGAATAATTATAGTCGGTTTAAAGGTGAAAAACTTACCGGCAGTTCTTGCGGGTGGAAAGACGTCGGTCATAGCTCGAATGCATGCTGATATGAGAACTTTCTGCCGCACCTGTGGATGAATGTGCTGCGCAATTTTACCAAGACACACAATAGTATTGGTTCTAATACCGCCATGTTCATCTTTGCTTTGTAATCTTGCAAAGTGCCTCATTACTTCTCCATTTAGATTGTTGTAGTTCAGTTTTGGTGCTAGCAGTGCGATAGACTGGAAAAGAATAATAGTACAGACATTTAATAAACAAGAAAACGAGAGATGACAAAGAAAATATAGACAAGTATGAAATTTAACAGTGAGTTAAAAAAGATGGCTTTTTAACCCTCATGGCGAAGAATTTTGCATTTAACCAAAGGGCTGAGATGGGAAATCAAACCTTGTATTTCATTCAAGTTTCGTTTTTGAGGTATCTTCAGTTCATTTTGATACTACAAGCAAGACTGTTACTTCTACAGCCAAAATTGTAACTTGTACCGCCAAGAGTGCTACTTATTAAGTCCATACTTCTCCATTGTAAAAAAGTGTTAACCAACAAATACTCCTGCTCTGCAGAATTTGTGCTCACAACAAGGTAAAATTATTCTAACTGAAGAGCACATTAGATAATAGAATTTCAAAAATATGTAAAAAGACAATTACATTCAAAAATACTTGAAACTGGTTGGGAATGAATTGAACTTTTGATTTACCCTGCCTCAAGAAAGAAATGAGTGAAACTTCCGATCATACAACACCGTGATGAATGGGTAATGCCTAATAATTGCACAGAAAAAACTTGGATCAAAGAAGAAAGTGGATAAGTAACTGAACTTACTTTAACAGTCTGTTCTCGAATGGTAACATTAGTGTCTAAAAATCCATTGGCAAATTGCGGAAAAATTTGGTCATTGATTATAGATGCTGGGAGATGTCCTGAAAAGAAATGAGAAACAGGCCATTTAAATTACTGAATCAAAATAAAGTTACTTAATGATTTACTTAGAGGTTGATCAACAATTGTTCCATGTTCATTTCAGACTGTTCACTTAGATATGATGTAGTTCAGAACGTAAAATTCCAATTGACATGAAAAACATTGTTACTCTGATGCAGGATTATCACTTTGCTGCTATATGAAGTACCTAGTTCAGAACGTAAAATTCCAACTGACATGAAAAAAATTGTTACTCTCACGTAGGCTTATCACTTTCCTGCTTCGATGACCAGTTCCAATGTCTGATTTAATTTCTTTCCTAAATACAGGTAAGATGAACACCTAAATTGAAGGGCTTGGAGGACAAGGCGCTTCAGTGCGGTTTTTGAAATAATTGAGATATTCATGAAATCAACTAAAACTATTTTGAAAGTTATTCTGTGAAAAATTCACAAATAAAATCCAACTTTAAAGCATCAAAAAGTGAATTTAAATCTCCTTTCTGCCATAAGGCTCCATGTAATTTTGAAAATTTAAACACGTATAAAAACTGCGTTTATGCACCTTGTCCTCCAAGCCCCTTAATTATCAATGCATATGATGAATAATTACAAGCTTACCAACAAAGTTGTCTAGCTGTTGCAGCAGTTTGCTCCTAGTTGCTCTATCCATTGAAGAGAACATTTTCACCACACACGGAACGATGCGCTTCTGGTACTCAGCTTCATCCAGAGTTTTTCCCAACTGAAGCAAAAAACATGTAAATAAACCATTTTTCAGAGGCTTGAAGAGAGTTAAGAGAGAGGAAATATGTAAATCATTTCTTTAGAATATTATCCAATCCAGAGAAACCAATACATTAACATGATAGGACTTGTCTGTTAATTCTGCACTACTGGCAAAAAAAAAAAAAAAAAAAAAAAAAAAAAAAAAAAAAAAAAAAAAAACAATGATAAACAAAGAAATTGCTGTTTATAATGCTCATAATGCAACGTTGGTGGAGCAGAAATGAAAAAAAAAAAAAATATACTTGAGAAAATTTTAGGTTTAGACATTAGACTAGTGTAAAAAATAGTATGAAAGTCAAAAGTATTGTAGTATGATGTCAATTCATTAAGATTTGTAAATGATAGGAATAAAAATGTCTTACAGACAGTCTTTGGATAGATGACTTTTGTAAAAAGGGATTATTAAAGTTCAGAACTTACTCTTGAAAATTTTCCTGAAATATACCCTCAATTAAAAATATCCTCTGGCTGAAAGTTGAAAGGAAAAATGAACTTCCTTAGCTGTGTCAAAATTACAGAAATGGCCTTAAGCACATATTTCTTACTGTCCACATCTTTTTTCCCATAGAAAAAACCGTGGCATCAAGCAATGCCTCATGATCACAGTTGTATTCAGGGGTAACAAAATATTCCGCTCTTCCGAAAAAGCATGCTTTAAAACTTTTCTACGCGAAGAGTTTATTTCGACGACTGACAATCAAGTTGGGTTGAAAAATGTGAATAAAATATGACAAAAATACCTGGACTATTGGTGTGAGGACTGCAGCACCAGCGTCACCATACTCAAATGCGGTGATAAGGTGAGGCAAAATCTTATACTTGCATATGTTGTCATGAAAATTCTCTAAAATGGGTGGTAACGAGTTGAAAAATTTATTCTTTTCACTACTGTCTTTGATCTGAATCTCCTCTAAAAACATCAAAGTATCTATCAACTCATTTTTAAAATACCCATTAACCTTACAACATCGTGTGATGATATCTGCTGGATTAGGTCTCTGGTTGGGATTGTCGTTCATAAGTTCGGTGTAAACCTGCTTCAAAGAAGTTGGAATCTGGAACAGAACGGGAGGCAAATAAAATCAATACACACTATTCTTGAACAATACCTGAGAATTTTATTGGTCTATCCTCACACAACAATCAGAACATGCTATGTTTGAGAGGACTGGCAATTTCAAGACGTTTCAGTGGCACTGTGGAGAAATAAATTATTGAGTAAACGAGAGAATTTTTGTACGAGTTGATTAAATGCACTGAAAGCTAATTTTACGTGCAAATAGTGAACTTACCTTGTTTTTAATATAATTTAACTCAATTTTAAATGCAATTATTTGTATATACTATGTTAATGAAAACGTTAGAGTTGACACTATGTTAACATGTAAAACCTCTGTGATTTCGGCCATGGCATTCTATCGGTCTTTCAAATTGAATTTTTTGTGCAAACTGAATGAATAAATAGAGCATATAAAGTAGTCGCTTTAAAACTGATATAACCTCTTCAAAAATTTTCTAAGGATAATTTTTAAGGTCATTCATCCTGAATCATTAAAAAAAATCACTTATAGAGACACTTTTGATTACTCATTTGAAATAAATAGAAACTGACAGGAAAAAAATATGATCAAGGGCAGGAAAAGAGACTTGATACAAAACAATTCAGAAATAAGCTGTTTGTACTGCTGCTTGGAGCTTGAAAAAATTTCAAACTGAACTACTTTTAAAATAGTTTACAGTTTAAGAAGAGGAAAAAAACTTCTTTTAGGAAAGCTCAGGGCTTGTCATTTTTTCTTTCTCTTTTTTTTTTACCAATTTTCAAGTATCCTATTGGCTAATCCCATGCTTGTTACCCAGCCCCAGGTGACCGTTGCCTGAGACCATCAAACTCAGGCATTGACGGATCCAAGGAGTTGGCAAGACTGGATTCCCTCCATTTAAACCTATGGAAATGTATCGATTCTTGAAGGGACCAGGTGCTCCGACAAGAATCGATTATTTAACGTAGGTATAAATGGAGGGAATCCGGTGTTGCCAAATTGCTGGATCTGCCTCTGAACTCAGGTCACCTTTCAACAGCTTAACTTTTGTCTTCTTGAAACTTAAGAGAGTTTTCTATCAAAAACTCAAGGTCCAATTTCTTGAACCTGCCTGAAAAAAATCGATCTTCTAAAAAATGTTCCTGTGTAAGGTCCATTTTTTTGTGGGCTTTCACAAATTCAGAAATTAAAAATACATTGGTAAACTCAAGGGATCAAACTTACTTTGTTGTTCGACTTCAGAGAGCGAGGCTGTATTAGTGGTCCGTTGAATACTTCCCAAATCAAGCAACCAAGACCCCACATATCTGTGGACCTTTTGAGGAAAAAATAAAAAAGGCAATCGCATGGATTAATAAACAGCGTTAAGTAACCTATCAATTGATTGAGAAGCTGGGTGAAAGAAGGCCCGATATCAGTACTATCTTCTTAACAGAATATCACTGATTTATGTTTTAAGGAGGAATTCAATAGGTAATTTTTTAAGAATTTTTTCTATGATACATTGTGCAATCATGAAGAATGTTTGCAAAAAATTTAAATGAAATGCACGCATTTGCTTCCCAAACAATGAATGAAATATTAGCAAAGATTTTGAAACACCACAATTGAAAACTGCCCCTCTTGCACTGAGTGCTATAAATATAACAGAGAAATCCTTGTAAACATGTTCAAAGTAAATATCTTAAAGGAAACGAAATAATCCAATTAAAAGACTCAATTAAGTCAGTTATTTCGATGCACTGCTCAAACTTGAGAATGGAAACTCACCTAGGTGCCTTTCGAAATTTAGGGTTGGTTCATTCAAAGTCTCAATTCTAGAAGTCTTGAAATAAGATACTTCAGTGCCTTCTTTAATCCTATATAAAACTTTGTTTTAAAAAGGAGAATTTATGAATTTGTTTTAATTGTGACCAAATGAAAATTAGAAATAGGGCAACTTCTCATGGAATAAGAGAAGGCCTTTCCGAGAAAATCTATAGAATTAACAGTGAACAATGGTTGTGATGACCTTACGAGGCAGTTTGTTAGTGATTCTTAACGTTCTGGGCTAAACTAAAATCAACAATGAAATTACACAGAAACTTTGTCCTGAACAAGCAGAATTTCATGATGGGGCTGAATTTAAAATTGTCTTTTTTACTTACCAATCTGTTATAAGTCTTTGCCGAGTGCTGTCCCCTTTTTCTGGCGGGTCATATTTTTCTAGGCTGCGCAGTATTTTCACAGGAAGGCCAGAGCCCTCAGATGCACCAGCCATATACTCTACTCCACCAAGCTTCCATTCACCCGCTTGGTTGACGAACACAGACAGTGAGTTCACATTATTATGCCTCAGTTTTCCATCATTGTTTAGGAAACTAAGTGCTCTCTGGAACAGGAATAACAGAAATATTCAAATAGGTACCAGAAGCAGTTTTTAGAGTGATTTAAAATTGATGAAGTGTTACAAAATGAGCGATAGCTTTTATTATGATTTAATACTCCTAACATATTTGTTTATATTTTACTTTCATGCCTTTTTTTATGTAACCCCCGCACAAGCCTGTTGTTTTAAGGGATACAAAGGTTTCCAGCCATGATTGTAAATATCACAATGTAGTCTCACAATGACAACGGTGAGGCTCATGGTGTCTTTTCTTTTAATTTTTCTTGTTTTGCCGGTTGAAAATGCAGGTGTGATCCCTGCGAAACGTTCCGGGTTTCTTATTTTATTTTATGTGTTTCTTTTTATTATTTGCGGCCTTGGCCCCGTTTTAAGTTGTTTCTCTGATTGTAAATATCAATGGCTGACAAACAATACCACTTACCTGAAATTTTGGCAAAAAGAGTTAGCGACTTTGCCGAATTCTTCAATATAAAATACGCAAACTGGTGATTTTAGTTTTTTTCCAATTCGGGAAGGGTACGCTTTAATGACGCTATAATGTATGGAAAATGCAAATGTAAGCTTAAAATTACAAAAATGGTGAAGTTTTCTCTTCGCTCTGTAAAGCGTCAGTTCGTAGATGGGCGGTATAGTTTGTTAGCCATCGATATGTATGTTTTTTTGAAGCATCGAAAAAAATAATCAAAATCCATTCTTTAAGTTGGGTTCCTGAAAAGAACCCAAAAGGAATACTTAAAATGAATTATAGATCTGCTAAACTTACTGTTATCTGAAAAATTCCCCATGCAATGTATAAATCATTGCGCTCTTGCTTTTCATTCTCTATCAATGCTAAGCGATCATTCAGTTTTTGGACATACTCAGTCACCAGATAGAGAGTTTTACCCGTCTCACAGCTGTCAATGTATTGAAGAATGCTGGGATGTCTGAGGGTTTTTAATCTTTTCACTGCTGTCTTTGCTAGCTCGAATTCGGTGTCATCACTCGATTTTCCATCAAATATAAAAATGGAAACGCGCTCTCCGTTATTCTGAAAATACAAAAAAAATGTTTTCCATTTAAATTTATAAATACCTACACTGGATTAAAATGCACATGGAATTCTTTACAGAATTACAGATAGTTGACTTAAAGGTCTTCAAAAGATTCTCCACGGTTTTAAAGTAAGATTTGCATCATCCTAATGTTCATAATCAATTTTCCCTTACAACTGGAAAATAGATATTTCCATAAACTTGCTGAGACAAATCGTCATCCTCCGGCCAAAGTATCACAAGCCCCATGGGACGTTTAAGAATTCCCGTTGCCATTTTATTTTTTACAGAGAAATTGTCGGTTGAATCTATTTCAAAATTCCACTGAATTTTATCAGCAGTGCCTAGAAATAAAATTCAGTGTAATTTTTGGACAGCTTGTTTGTTGAAAAATTTCTCTGTGAAGAAAAATATACCTAATGGCAGCGGCAATTTTTAAACGTCACATGGCGCTTGAGATAGTTTCGCCTGACAGTAACGAAATATTGACCATCACACCCTTAAATTTAAGGCCAATCTTTGAAAAATGAAGTACAAAGAGTCATGCTGACAGTAGATTTTAACCATTTTTTATGTAAGACTACCTTTGTCTCAATTAAATGAATATAGGTGTTACCAAGAGGGCACCAAGCAAAGTGCCCCAGATGCATCAATTCGCTCCAAACACAACATTTTTTCCTCCTATCGTTTTTCATTTGGCTGGACTGTGCCTATTGGAAAGGATATATGTCAATTTGACAAAATCCAATTGCTCATAGACAAAAATTCTTGGTAGAATTTTGGAATCCAACTGCACTTCCTCTTAGGTATTAGAACTGGGGAAAGAAGAGAATAGACAAAAGTCACATCAGTCTGAATGCATCAATCGTTGGTTGGCCCTTTGGGTAGCGCTGTCTCCACTCGTCAAAATGGAAGCTCAAAGTGAATCAATTTCAATGATAAGTGGCTCGAAGTCGGGACTTGATGCGATTGATAAGTGTTGCAACTCAAAATAGAGCAGTGCGACTCTTTTTTGATCAACAATCACGAACAGATCGTATTCATCCATTCACTTTGAGCTTCCATTTTGCCGAGTGGACACAGGGCTGTTAGCATGTACCTAAATATCTATTGAATGGTGCAATTTTGGATGTGACATTTGTCTATTCTTTTCTTTCCCCAGTTCTGGATCAGAGTCTGACTGTGGAGAAGCCGTTTAGTCTTACCGACGTGAAATCCTCAATGCCATATCACATGAAGGCAACCTATGGTTCATACCCCACCATCTGCGTGGACCAACGAGGGTCTTGATATTTTCTGCAGCTGAAGGCCGCCACACACAGCTACTTTCCTGAGGCAATGATTTAGGTTTTTCAGCCAACGATATGCTTAAATGCGTCTATCTGAAAAGGTTATTATCATTTTTCAAAGCCCGCAGGTGCCACATACAACCAAATTGTCGAAATTTCCCTAAGTAATCTTAATCTATTTAATTGATCCAAGATTGGTGCCACTCCCTGTTTTTGCATCATAATTGAAAACGTTTCGGACATCTAAGTTTAGTCGAATTGTCATCGATGATCACCCTTCAGTACTGTTCCCACAGTGGAATGGGAAGAGTTCAAGAAATTACCTTTTTCTTGCCTTCAGTAAGACACCAAGTGCTGTCTTCGTAAACGTGACGAACATTGTGATCACTTTTGTCCACTACTTCATAAGGAAAATCCTTAAAGGAGTCTCGACTGAAAAGCCACATCCTGCTATTTTTGTTCAACCTCTGCCTCCACTAAATAAAGCATGATCTGCGCACTGAGTCTTGAATAAACTGAACAAGTTCAAAATTTTTGCGTTCACTTCTCTAGGAGACGACTATTTGGGTTGAAAAACTAATATATGGATAAATTATCACAAAATCATAAGAAAATCTCGCTAAACTGACTGTCAGTAGTAAATAAATAAATACAATGGTAAAGAAATCCATCCATCACCGAGGGAACAGTGACGTTACGTCACCAATCAACGTTGCACATATGACCCGCGGAGTTTAAAATGTCGCTCAGGTTCAACTTGTCCGACTCCGCCAATAAGATCACGAAAGTTCCTTAATTGCCGTTGTTTTGAGTCGCTAATTTCGAATTTGATGTCAAATTACCTACATTTTAACACCCTGATCTATTAATTGCAGGCAAGTTTACGGCACGCTGCGGCGCGACGTCCGCAGCGCGCATGGCGCACGACCTGCCTTAATTCATCTAGCGTTAAATCTAAAAAAATACACGACTTAAGATTTTCTCGACCTGGGACCCTCCCCGCAATCGTTCACCACTCGCCCGCGTCGGGGGCGCCGCAGCGTGCTGCCAGCACGAAATGCACACTGACGCCTACAAACCTAAGGGGATACTTCAAGCATTGCGCAATGTGTGACGTATCCCCTTAGGTTTGTAGGCGTCAGTGCGCGTTTCGTGCTGGCAGCACGCTGCGGCGCCCCCGACGCGGGCGAGTGGTGAACGATTGCGGGGAGGGTCCCAGGTCGAGAAAATCTTAAGTCGTGTATTTTTTTAGATTTAACGCTAGATGAATTAAGGCAGGTCGTGCGCCATGCGCGCTGCGGACGTCGCGTCGCAGGGCGGCTCACGACATTCTCCCCTGTGCTCTGTCGGAACTTGTCCGTCTTGAACAGAGTTGCAAAATGTTTCATGAAATTATTTCATTTTGCTGAGAAGTTTAATTTCATTTCTCACGAAAAACCAGTTTTTGAAGGGCTGCATACGCAACCCGCAACAGTTATCAGATAATTCTGCGAGAAACTTCAAAATTTGACTCATATTTTTTTTCTTCAAAATTAAGATTTTTCTGTTACTATAATAAGTTTAATTGGTATACGTACAAAGTCCGTGGCAGAAGTGTTGATTCACACGGTCATTATCGACGGTAAAAGTATGCGAACACGTATCTGCGATGTTGCGTACTTCCTGTTACACTTTATTTTGAAAAGGAATACAACTTAGGAACTCAGCGGCAATTCTGCGAGAGCGAAGAGAGCCGTAAGTGCAAAGTTTTCTTCAAAATTCGTCTAAACTCTTTTAGATGAAATTACTGAGATAGCTAAAACAGCAAAATTCATCCTAATTTAATGAAAACGAGACGCATGAAAAAGCCGTAAGTGCACAAATGACATAGTGTTTTTCAAGACAGCCGTAGATGCATGAGAACCAATGAAAACAGTGCTTTCAAGAGGAACGCCGCCCTCATCTGCCGATTTCTGACCTGAAAATGTGTTTGTTGTGTGTCCAAAACGAAACCACGAAAGCATGCAGAAGATAGCACTTACGGCAGTCTTGCCAAATACTAACCTAACATGTAACTGAATTTCACCTTTTTCATGTACTTTAAAATAAAATCGGTTGAGTTGTGATCCCCCAAATGATTTCTAAGAGTCTGTCGAATGATTGGTTGCGATTTGACTAAGAACGGAGCCTTCCTCCAATCAGGGGCGGACTGGAAGTCGAAAAGTTAGGAGGCGACCTAGATTTTGGGGGCCCCTCCTGTCGTTCGGGGGCCCCTCTAAGGAGATCCGGGGGCCCTCCCCCGGAAAATGTGGAAAATTACACACTTTTTAAACGCAATTTTATGCATTATTGGAGTCAAATTCTACAGTATTTGAACTTCAAAATAACCCATTCTCAGGATTCTTCGGGGGCCCCTTCATCACAAAAGCTTTAGACGACCTTTCATGTCACTTAGAGACAAATTTTCAAGGATTTTGGGACCTTTTAGTGACTGAATAGGATAAAAAAATTACAACATTACAGGGGTAAAACCATAACTCGAAAAAAATTCGCCGCGGGGGCCCCTTCGGGACCTCCGTGGCAAATTGTTAGGAGGCGATCGCCTCCCCGCCCCCATGGCCAGTCCGCCCCTGCCTCCAATAAAATGTTCCACTCAGAAGCTTCTAGGCCCATTTCCTCAAAACTTCATTTTTGCACTTACGGCTCCCTTCGCTATCACGGCAGAATTCTTACAAACTGTCGTAATTGTTCTTCTCTGTGCCAAAAAAATTCTGCGGAAATCTGCCGATTTGCTCTCCCTTAAAGAAATAAAATAGGGGCGGAGACTGTTAAACGCAGCAAACGAGAGACGTGGTTGCGATCTTACACCGCGTAAATATGCTTCAGGTAATATGCACCTATGTCAGTTCGCGGTCCTCGTGAATTAACTAAGAATGTTTTAGTTAGCATTTCAATAAAATCTGAGCCGTTTTATTAACATCACAGACATCGGAACGCTCTTTCAATTCAAAACAACGCGAAGATCAATAGAGGAATACACGAAGTTCGGTTCGAACCCAACATGCGACTATTTTAACTCCGAGGTGGGCCGGGTTGCATACACTCCATTTTGTGGGCGAAATCTGAGATTTGCCATCGTGGACAACGTAAGTCGGAATGCTCTTTCAGTTCAAAACAAAGCGAAGATCAATAGAAGGGTGGTTTCACGATAACTGGAATAGTTTTGTCACTGTAACAGACAACGCTTTTTTCGGTCATTTTTTTAGAAGTAATGATAATCACTCGAATTTTTTGGCATTAATCTTCAAAAAGTTACGTATTATAACGCTTTCTAATGATTAATTGCTCTACTTCTCAATTAATATTATGTAAATTCCGAAAATGTGCTGTCTGTTACACGGTAAAAGGTCAGCGTAACAGACAGTTCATTTTCGGCCATTTGTATATTAAAATTGAAAAGTAGAGCAATAAATCGTTGAAAAGCGTTATAACCCAGCAGTGTAGATTAATGCAAAAAAAATTCGAGTGATTATCATTACTACTAAAAATATGACAAAAAAATGTGTTGTCTTTTACGGCGACAAAACTATTCCAGTTATCGTGAAACCACCCAGAAGAATACACGAAGTTAGGTTCGAACCCAACATGCGACTATTTTAACTCCGCTGTGGGCCAGGTTGCATACACTCCATTTTGCAGGCGAAATTGGAGATTTGCCATCATTGACAAGGAACGCTCTTTAAAATCAAAGCAATTTGAAGAACAAGAGAGGAACATACGAAGTTAGGTTCGAACCCAACATGCGACTATTTAAACTCCGCAGTGGGTCGGGTTGCATACACTCCATTTTGCGGGCGAAATCTGAGATTTGCCCACTGCCCACGGCACGCGCTCATGATGTACGGCTCTAACGTTAGGGTAGGTACAGGTCGATGATGAAACTGCAGAAGTGCGTATCTTTTTTGAAATGGATTTGGTGTCAAGTCGCAACGGTTCAAATTTGTAATTGGTCAACCAAAAGGCCCGGTCTGTCCATTGATTTGGTTCTAGCCGGTCAAGAATCTGTCCACCTCCTTTCAAATTTCTACGAATGCTCTTTTTGTCGTAAAGGTGACAAACAGAATGCAAAATAACATAACATAACATAATGTTGTTTTTTTTTCACCCACGAACCGGTTCCGATAACCCATCAACAATAAACTGATAACACAAACAAGCACACCAAAAAATTAAAAAAAAGAAAGAAAAATAAATAAATAAATAATTCATATCGACGGTGCAAGTCGGCATTCACATAACTCGTTTGCGGTGTCTGAAAATCTCCGCCTCTATGTTATTTTTTTAAAGGAGAACAAATTGACATCATTTCTTGAAGTTTTTGAAGAATTTTCTTCGCATAGAGAAGAAAAATCACGACAGTTTTAAAGAATTGCCGTTGAGTAGTTTTCCGTTTAAAAAATAAAGTATGATAGGAAGTCTGCAAAATCGCAAACCGAGTTATGTGATTGCCAACTTACACCGTCGATATGTAATCGCACGATTAGTCCTTGACCGGTAAAAAACTGGTTGCATTAACCTAGTTTCACGACCTACTGCATTTTGTCAAGACCCTGACCGAATTTTTCCTTGTTATTGTTTACTTCATACGCTGCAGTCATAAAGTGCAACCGGTTTCATAATCGTCTTTTGGAACGAGGTCGTTTGCCCCATCCTCATGGGACTTTACTATAGGAATTAAAACCCTAATTTGTTACATCAACCCATCTATTCCGTTACAAAATCGAAATCCTCGCACAATGGGTTGGGGGGAGGGAGGTTTTTGGACAAGTGGTTCGCAAAGTGGTGCATCAGAGGGAGGAAGTTTTCATAGAGAAAAAAAGAGGTGTTTGCATCTTGAGGTTTGTTTACCCTATGATGTAGGTCGCTACAACCTGACCAGCGAAATCCGGAATTCGAAGTATGAAAAACGGACCATAATGTCCCATTTTTTTGCTTAAATCAACTCATGATATAATTTCAAGCACTTTTTATAGAATGACTTTGTTCCATAAATTACACCATTTCCAAGAAAATCGATGATAAACGTCGCTGTACCGGCCTACGTCATCAAAAAAATTCCAAGATGTCCGAAATGCAAACACCTCCTTTTTTTTCTCTCTATGGGAAGTTTTAACCCCTGGCGCGGCAATGTCCCTTGAGACACGCTTATGGGATTTTACTATGGGAATTCAGATTCATGTCTTTTGAGACATCCTCATGGGATTTTACCGTGGGAACTCAAACGCCGATTATGCCACATGGGAAATAATATTATGCAAATTGAACCGCAGGAATCCGCGATGGATTTTGGCTGCCACCGTCTATCAATTGGACTGCATTTTGCAATTTGGAACTATAAATTCTGCCTCTTCTGGAAAAACACGTATGTGCTTAGGGAAACTACTGGCACATACGTTATTTTTAAACCGGGCTAGAATTTATAGTTCCAAATTGCAAAATGTAGTCCAATTATAAACAGCCAGCGGGCCGATGATTGAAATTTAAACCAGCCCGATAAGACATCGAATTGCGATATATTGCTCGGTTAAGATAGGGCTATGTCTTGTCGTAAGCGGCGACGTAGAGTCGATGACATTTCAATAATCGCCCCGCAGGATTGCAT